CCTGCAGGTCTTGGATTCGATCTCCAGTCGGCCTCAGTTGCGTATTTCTGAGTAGTCCAAAACTAGGAAGAGATAGCTGTCTACTACATTTTAGTTTCCAGTGTTTTCCTAACTGACATAAACTTAATGTAATTCTAATTGATTTGATTGTGGCTAGCAGTGTTATCAGGGATATACACTTCTCCCCACTTACTGCTCGCCAGCTAGGTATGTTCAAGTGAATACTGTCAGCAGTGACTGAGAACATCTGTCCACTAAATTAGTGAGTTTCGTTTAACAGTGGCATAACTCAACACTTGGCTGACAGAGGACAGCAAATCAAAAATCAGAATCTTTTAAGATGGTTCGCTCCAGGTTCTCAAGTAAGAAATGGCGAGTTGAACCTCCGAGAATGATACGGAGAAGACTGTGTTAACGGGAGATGAAAGATTACAGATAATCATGGGGCCAGTAAGAGAGGAGGATTCTATAAGACGGAGCAAAATGGAGATGTGTTGCTGAACCCCAATGTTGCACTTGGAATCTCAGGGAATAAAAATAATAATTTTAGACGGTGGACAGATGAACCACTTCACGATCAATTCAGATTTCTAAAGCTGTCGTCATCTAAAGAGTGAAGCTGGAATTATGTTTTCAAGAGGAAATTGTCAGTGGCATTTTATTAAATTAGCAGTCACTGATTCTATCACTTGTATGTAAGTGAATTGCACTTTTCGCCTCTAGTAATACAAGATCAACTGACCATTCAGTTAAATTATGTCTAAATTCTGCAGCATTTATTGCTTGAATATGCTGCTGACGAAAACCCTATGAATTCATCTGCTGAATTTGCTGATCTAATCGTGCTATTCAAAATGACTTAAAAACAGGTTTGGTGATAATAATTTAAGCAAATAGTAACTAATATCCGTTTCAAGAGAGGTGGCTCTGGCATCCCAGTGGCCTAGTGGACAATACTTTTCACAATCAAAATAAGAGGCTCTCATTTCAAGTCTAAGTAATAGCATCACTCACTGAGGATGCAAGCATACCTAAATGACCACTCTAAAACGGATACTTCAGATTCCTTGCTAATCACCTTCAATCACATAAAAATCACTTTATTCTTAAGCTGCCTTAGAAGCATCGATACACTGCTCCAATCAGTTAACAAGGACCAGTCAATTGGGCTCAATAAAATTGATCCGCGGAAAAACGACGAAGAAGACAATACTGATCTCAACAGAGTTGATCGTTACTTCCTTAATTCTTTTTACTATTTTACTCAATATTAATTCATAATTCATCCTATGTTTATCTTATCAAGATGGAATTATCTTTTTCTTAAAGTTGCAATATATTTTTGACCAGTACATACTACTCCCAAAGATTCTGATGTTTTTTTCAAGATATGACAGTATACTATCTTTGTTATTATTTCCTTCAAATTAGTAATTATTTATCATACGCACGAAAAACATAATCAGAGAATAATTTGACGTAACTACAAAGAGACTGCTTTAGCAATAAAATCTTCAAAAATCTGTACGATGTATACAACCTATTGATCAGAAAAGCGATAAATCACTCACTAGAGATATCTTTTCGGCAATCACATGTTTATCCGCAAGTTCGCATAGTTACAATTGTTATTCAATTCGACATAGTAACAACGGGAGATAAAAGGAGATAGTAACTTTTAACTTGACTTGCAAGATTGCAGGTATGATAACAGGTGAATATAAAAATCACAAACAGCATAGAATACAGATGTGTACAAGGCGTGCACACAGAGTGACCACTCACATCTGTCAGTAGTCTTCACTAGCCAGAGCTAGATGATGTAAATACTGTATAAAAAAGGCAGTTCACATAGTAAAGCACTAATGCCACAGTATCGATCCTATTTATAGCATTAGTTATTAGAAACTTTATAAGATAAATAAATTATCTGATAGGAATCTTGGTTATCGCTATGCTTGTACTAATCTACATAGACAGATTACAATGTTTTACCCTATTACTTTTACTACTCTTGGTACTAATATTGTAGAGTGTGATACTGATGAGAATTTCTGAGTATTATATTGCAGGTAATATCTTCTACAAGAATCCTGAACAACAGAATCATTGATTAGATTGAAATGAAGAGAAGTGAAAGATCCTAGTTAGACAGTAAAGGGAGAATGACAGAAGGAAAAAGGAAGCAGATTACTAAGAACTTGTGCAAATACAAATTTCAATGTAAGGTCCCTGTGTTTTGTCATCACTGTCTATCATTTGCCAAACAGACAGTCCTGTTACTTCACTGCTATTGCCAATGCAACCTGAGAAGTGAATGGTTCGACGTCTGTG